TTTATAGTCATAATGGATAAGCTAGAGTAAATAAAAAATCTTAAAATATATTAATAAATACAATTACTCTAAATTAATCTAAATGATAATCCACCCAAAATGAAACTTCATTTTCTGACATGAATCGAATTATTTTTTTAATAATTTCAACACCATTTTCTTCACATCTTCATGAAAATATACCGTGTGATTGATGTTTTTTGGTTCATAGCAGATGAGATAGCTAAGTTTTAAATATAGAGATGCACGAACACATTTGAATTTGAATTTATGCTTCTATTATTCTCTATTTTTTTTTTTTTTTTTTTATCTTCAATCTTTGAAATTGTTTAAAAACAATTATTTCTTTTTAATTCCATCATTAAATAAAAATGACAATTTAACGTAATATTGAATTTTCTTTTTTGGGTCGACGGTAGGAAATATAACCTCTAGCAAAACAAGTACTCGAAGAGGCTTGCAAGAGAGAAGATTTGGAAATAAGAAACGATCCACAAAAGCTACATAACTAAATCAAATCATTAACGATGGAAATTGGATATTAAGATAGCACAAAAGATCCAAGAACAAGAAGGGGTTAGGATACGATATACGTTTTGGTCCAAATATCTTAAACCTAGTTATGCTTGCGGGTGTCACAGTCGTCCATCTTCAACCGTGAGACGTCGTGATCTTGACACACTCATAGCATGGTTGTGACAGCTGACACGTACTACCTATTCTATTCTTGATACATTAGAATAGGAATAGCAGTAAGTTGTGGTCTTGCCGTGAGTTAACACAATCTACTCATTAACTTATTTAGTAGGTAACAAAAAATGAAAGTGTTCTTACGTTTATGAAACCATTAAAGCTTCCATATGATCGGTTGCAAACTTTTAGATTAGATGATTGAAAACTATATAACTTTCCCGTTTTATAACTTTGATTTCAAATGTTTTAGGTTACCTTGTAATAAAGGGATAAAAATACGAGTAAGAGAACTTAGAACGGATCATCTAATCTCTTCATCACAACTAAACTCGATAAAAAAAAATTGAGTTTATTACGGTAGAGCGGAGGAAATGGGAAACTAGATTACCTTTCGAGCATAAACAGCTCAAATTCTATACATTACATCTATCGACCATGATGTCAAATGTTCAAAATCCTCGAAGACCAAAAAGACCTCTGATTCTTAATGCTTACTCCAGACAAGAAACAAAACAAAAAATGATGTAATGTCGAGATGTAAATATAGATTCATATCTAATTTTTTTTAAGGGAACAACACTGTATCGAAGTAATGTCGTGATGGAAGCGTAAGAGAAGGTGGAATTAGGCTTCTTTTTTTTTTTTCTTTTTTTTTTTAATAATAATAATAATAATAATAATTATTATTATTATTATTAATGATGTGACGCACAATCCCATTTGAAGCAAAAACAATGGTTACAATTTAGTTTCCCAATTCATTCATCTTCCAATTACAAAAATATTTATATATATATATATATTTTTTAATTTATAAAACTTGACTTAAATTTTAAAAATATATAACAAAATAATATAAGCTTAGTTTAAAATTAAGTTTATTAAAATTTGGATAAAAATTCAAATTATTAATTAAAAAAATAAAAATGACCGTAATTTTTTTTTTTTTCATAAACTAAATAGACATCAAAGAGACTGAAATAGTTATAATTATGTATATACCCATCACATGGACGGAATAGCACACACCACTTTGATTGTACCAAACTTTTGATCGGTCTCACTAAAGCTATATATTCAATGCACTCTTGGAATTTGATTCACCCATTATGATTATGATGTCATTTTACTATTTTTTTTTTAAATTTATCCGTGTTAGATCGTTAAGTTATGTTCAAATTGGTTTGTCTTATTGATTTTTTATTACAGGGTAAGCATTTGACCTACATTTTTTAAAGGGTGAAAATTTGAATCTTGACCCTTAAATTTAGAGATGTTCACAAGATGAAAGTCTCACATCAGCTAATTTAGGAAATTGTCATGAGTTTATAATCGAACAATATTATCTCCATTGGTATGAGGTCTTTTGGAGGAGCCCAAAGCAAAGTCACGAGAGCTTATGCTCAAAGTAGACAATATTATGTCATTGTAGAGAGTCGTGTTCATCCAACAGATAGGGCAAAACCGAGAACCGTCCTCAGTTTTTTTCCTTTTTTAGTTTATCAATTATGTTTTTTTAAAGATAGGAATATGGTATAAAAGTTGGTGATTTAATATAATGATTAATTCCAAATCTCATAAACAGCATGATTAAGAAAAACAAAGATTTGTATTAAGTTTAATTAGTGAATCATTATCCCATAAACATAAACACCATCATTATTAATTAAGCTTTGTGTTTTGTGTAAACAAGTGATTAAAAAATATTAAAATATTTGTTTACAGAATTTGATATGCTGAGTTGTCTCCTTCTCATGCCTTAGTGCATCTATTTGACTTAGAAAGTGATAGAAACCCAACTCTCTTTTCCTATAGAAATGGTAGTTTAAATCGATCCGGCTCACCCTTTTAGTACGGCTAGCTTGTTACGACTCGGTATTTTAGAATTTCCACTACTTTATATGCATGATATTAAGATTCATATGTATGAAGTTTTCTAACCGTACCCATTTGAAATTGAGAAGTTTTTATGAGATCCTACATCTGTTGGAGTGGGGAACGAAACATTTCTTATAAGGGTGTGGAAACCTCTCCTTAGTAGACGCGTTTTAAAACCAAGAGGTTGATAGCGATACGTAACTAGCCAAAACGGACAATATTGTGATGGGCTTGGACAGTTACAAATGGTATCAGAGACAAATACTGGACAGTGTGCTAATGAGGACATTGGGTTCCCAAACGGGGTGGATTGTAAAATCTCACATCAATTGGAGAGAGGAACAAAATATTTCTTATAAGTGTGTAAAAACCTCTCCTTAGTGAACGCATTTTAAAACTATGAGACTGGTGGCGGTATATAACGAGTTGAAGTAGACAATATCTACTAGTGATGGGCGTGAACAGTTACAAATGGGATCAGAGCCAGACACTGGGCAGTGTGCTAGTGAGTATGCTGGGTCCCCAAGGGTGATGGATTGTGAGATCCCACATCAGTTGGAGAAGGGAACGAAACATCCCTTAGGTGCAGAAACCTCTCCCTAGTAGACGTGTTTTAAAACCTTGAGGCTAACAACGATGCATAACGAGTCGAAGCGAACAATATCTACTAGCGGTGGGATTAGGCAGTTACAAATGGTATCAAAGCCAGACATCAGTCGGTGTGCTAGCAAGGACATTGGGCCTCCAAGAGTGATGGATTGTGAGATCCTAAATGAGTTGGAGAGGGGAACGAAACATTTCTTACAAATGTGTGAAAACCTCTCCCTAATAAACGCATTTTAAAATCGTAAGTCTAACGACGATACATAAAGAACCGAAACCGACCGTCAAGCCAAGCACTAAATTTGGCAACAGGTGAGGCCATGCAAGGGGATTGGCTGCATACATTATAGACATGCATATAATACTTGTTGTTTCTTTAAGTTTTAACCCCAAAAATATGAACAGTGGAAAGAGTTGACTTAAATGGATGTGGGCTAAAGTTAATGCACTAAATCATGATTGTGTAGCTATTGGGGGGAAGCACCATGACAACACCTTCTCAATTTCTCTCTCATTCTCCTTTGGAAATCAAGGATAAAACCCTCACTCCCATGCCCTCCTAACCCTACCTTTGTTTTTACCTCATTACAATACAATGTCTCCAAGCCTTAAATTCTTTCTCCTCCTTCTTCTCCTGCTCTCCATCTCCGTTCCTTTCTCTTCGGGTAACTGACTTCTGCCTTCTCATTAAGTTTCATAATTTCGTTGTTGCGATCGATGCTAATGTATGTATCTTTCTTTGTGTTAGGCGTGGTTGAATCGGGTCGAAACGTCAAGGTTACAGATAAGGTGATTTACATGGTATTAAGTAATGTTTAAAAGATGCGAGATTTAAAGTGTTGTTATCATGTAACTCAATGATTTTTTTTTCTTGAATGTGAAAAGGTTGGTGGGGTCGGAATGAATGGAAGGAAGCTTATGAGACTCGACGTAGAGGACTACGATGATACGAAAGCGAATAATAGGCACGATCCGAAGAAGCCCGGAAATGGAAAGCCTTAAAAGAGGGTCTCTCTTTGGTGCTTATGGTTTAAATAACATATGCTATTGGGTTTGTGGTTATGTTTGAGCAGCTCTTGTTTGGTGTAAGATATGGATGATTTGATGAAGTTTTAAGCTCAAATGCTTCATGGTTTGGCTCATTGAAACTTGGTGGTGGATCCATTAGAGAGAGATAAAAGTGGATAAGAACAGAATTAAAGAGAATGAAGTGGGTTAGATGGACAAAACAAGTTAGATAACCAAATGGTCGAACAAATTCTACTCTGCCTAGCCCAATAAATAACAGAATCATTTATTAAAAAACAAGTTAAAAAAAAGTGAGACCAGACTAGAAGTGTTCATATAACTCCATAATCTGACAAATCCAATCGAATCAAAATTATGAAAAGTTGGGTTAAATTAGATTCTTTTTCGGTTTGAACGGGATTGAATTTTTAAAAACGAAAAATTTCAAATGGGTCCAAAAGATTTTTATGTAGATAAAAGATGAAATCTAAGTGATACTCCAATTACAAATCGAAAGATCCAGCAAAACACTAAAAGGGAACTGGTGGCTTCATCAAATGATTCTGATGTTGAGCTTGAGTTCGAAAATTCATAAATAAATTATAAAAAGATACTAAGGCCAAAGACAACGTTACATCTAGAAAGATTAGTTTTATGATCTCATTCTCATTATATCTTCTAAACAATGAAAAGTTGGCCACATTAACAGACAAAAATGCTACGGAAAGAACTAGAAAGTGTACACAAAACACTATGAACATGATAAGCAAGTACTAAACAAATGACATCTTAGCTATGAATATAATAAATGGTCTTTCTTTCAAAAATGAACTTCAATTACCAATCATCAAAACTTCCCATATACAGACAATATATACAAGCCAACAAAATCCTCAACTCAACCTTTGAGATGTTTCCAATACAATTTTCACTTGCAAAATAATAAGATATGGGATGTATAAACAAATAAAGAAAGACGACTGTACTTCAAAAATGACCTGTGTGATATATAATGATTTATGTGAATTCACCGTATTGATCATGTATGATGAACTACAAAACACGACCAAATGGAAATGCAAAGAGAGGATATGATATATAATGATGACCCTTCATGCTTTCTATTGCTATGAGAAACTGAACCAAACGACGTATACAAATATGAAGTGAATTTCACAGGAAAGACCAGAATACAACCAGACCATGAAAAAATTCACAAGACTGATGCAGAAAAAATAAACAAAGGGTAAAAAGTGTCGAACTAGATCTGCTAGAGAGTAGAAGTTTAGAGAAAAAAGCACTAGGGTGTTTAATCAGGGGAAGAAGAAGTGAACGAACACTCCTGTACTTGATCCATTTCCACAACCCAAAACCATTTGATGGCAAGGCAAACCCCACTAGGTTGGACACTATCTCAAGTCAGAGATAGATACAATTCGAACCGACCAAGCCATACGAACTGGGGGCGCTAATGGACGATCCCTCCTCCCATTTCTACCATGACATACAAGATCCCGACTTGACGCTGCTAATGCAATAGTTAGCAATGCTTTCATGATGATGATGATGATGATGCAAGTGTTAGTGACAACTAGAAGTGAACAGCTTCCCGTTGTCCTGAGAGTGAAGACTTGAAAGATGCAATCCGGACCCCAACTCAACACACCCATATGCATGCAAGGACTTCAAATGTGAAAAAAAATAATTTTCCAACCAGCAGAGGCCTAAATTGAAATGGCACGGCTGATGGCCAACTTAGCCCATTCAGCAGATTCTTTAATCAAATGATCATCCGAGGACAAGCATTCACTCAAAAATTCTTTGCTTGAGACAGATTGCTGAATCAAAGAACCAGCATGGCTACCCAGCGTGTCGGCCAGGTCTCCAAGGACTCCAATGGCAGTCTTCATAACAACTTCATCCCTACAGGGAAAACAAGTATAAAAACATCAAATAAATAATTCCAATTTAAGAACACATATTCACACTCACAGCTGGGGGGGGG